GTCCAGGATTGGGCCCTCCCGCCGAAGCTGGCTGTGGGTGCCCCAGCCAGGGGCAAGGCAGATCCAGCCTCCCCCTGAAACCTGTCCCCAACTTCCGTGGGAGCACAGCCCCACCCAAAACAGGCGATCCCGGTCTTGCCAAGACCCGCTTCAGCTTCTCGGCTCTCCGCCGAGAGAGCTCGCTGGAGCCCTTGGGCCCGTGGCCCTTCGTCCCTCACCGTTCCGCAGCGGCCTGAGGGCCTTGGAGCAACCGCTGGCTCTGGCTGCCGGGAAACCCCCAGCGCATTTGGGAATCCATCGGATGCCGGCACCCCCCAGCCGTGGACTGACTTCCCGGGTGCCCCACCTCCGCAAGGAGAAGCTTGCCCTGCGAGGCTGAGCATCCCCCAGAAGTGTCTGGCCGGAGCGGCAGGGAGCTTTCCACGCTGCACGCAGGCAGCAGCCCCGAGGCAAAGAGCCGATCGCGGGCACGCTGTCCCGACCCGACCGCGAATGCTGCCTTCCAGGCCGGGGGGCCGCACCTCTCGGGCTGCTGCCATGGCCCAGCGTCTCTCTACGTGGCACAGGGAGTGTTTGCCGCCACCACCGCTGCCGCTGCCGCAGGTTTGGGATCAAAACATGTCACGTGCACCTGGAGCACAGGAGGAGGGGGGAGGCCAGGAATCGGAGGCTCCCTTCCCCCTGCAGGTAGATCGCTCGGGCAGGCCGTGTGCTGTCTGGAGGGCCCCCCCACCGCCCCCATTCTGGCAGCCACAGAGGAGGGAGGCGCTGCCAGCAGCGCCTTCTGTTCCGACACGCGGCAGCAGCGCGAGGATTGGCATGGAGGGCACGAAGCCGGCTTCTCTCCGTCCCGGCTGCTCCTCATTGGAAATCAGGCTGCAGTCTGGAGGGGCCTGCAGACCCCGCCCGTCGCCTCCCTCTCCTGTTCCTTCATTCCCTGGCTCCTCCAGCGCTTGTTAACAAGCACCTCTCCCCGCAGCCCCCGCTCTGCTCTTCGCCTTGCCGTTTCATCTTCCTTGGTTCCCGTGCCTCCCATCTTTGTGCTGCGGGTGTGTGTGTGGGGGGGAGCAGGGCCTGGATCGGGGGGGGGGGGTTCCACGGGTGTCTCGACCAGCATCGGTATTCCGCCCATGCGGTGCCGATGCTTCCGCTCCGCCCGCCCCCTCCCTTCCCCCCTGCCAGGCAGATGTCCATTATAATGCGATGCAAAGTGGGGGAGGGAGGAAAACAACAAGGGGGGGGAGCAAGCGCAGGCACGCATCTCCGGGACCTCCTGCTGCCGCAGCTGCCAGCCAGCAGCCAGCCCCAGCACAGATCAGTCCGCACTCCGCCAGAGTCGAGCTCAATCTCATTAGCGGATTTAAACAGTGCCTGCATCCCGCACTGCCTTGCCCACTGGCAGAAGGATGGACGGGATGAGCTGCCGGAAGCGGCCCTGAGCAGAACACCTGATCCGGAGGCAGGCGGGTGGGCGCGTGTGGGCCGGACTGCCCTGGCGGGGGCGCTTGGCATTCCTCCCACGCCCGCAAGCCTCTGTTCTCCTCGCCTTCCGGGCACGTTGGCCATGCCTGTCTGGATCGGCGATGCCAGCCTGAGAGCGCGGACGGCGTCGCGGAACGTGCTTCCGAGATTGCGGGGGAAGGAAGCCGGCTGCCGAGCGCTGGCCCGGGGTGCCTGGCCCTGAGCGGCAGCCGTGGTGCCCCGGCGCCTCGGCTGGGCTCCTGCCCGGCCCTTTCTGGGCATGCGGGAGGGTGCACGCCGTCCTCTGTGCAAAGCCACGGGGTGCCCCGGCCTCGGCTGCACGTCCACACTTGGCCACCGCGCTTTCGAGGGACCTCAGCTCCATGCCGGAGCACCGCCAACTCCTCAGCCCTGCAAGAGGCGGCCCGCCAGAGCTTGGGCCCAACCGCATGCCTCGCAGAAACCCCCCCCCTTCTCGCTGCCAGGCAGAGGAGACCATCTTGCCCCAGTGCCCCCATGGGCAGAGCCACGTCCGATGCCCGGGTCCCGGGACAGCGCCTGCCCGTCCACCGTCCCCTCGCGTGTCCCCTCCACGCGCCCCGCCAGGCTGGCTGAGGCAGCTCCCGGGGGTGCCTGGCGGCTCTTCCCGGCATCCAGTGCCGGGGCTTTCCACGTGCCCTTTCTGGGGAGAGGGCTGTGCCCCCGCCATGCTCTTTTGCTTGGCTCGCCAAAATGGCCAGCCCAGCTTCAGCTGGAGAACTGCCTGCTGGGGGGTGGGATGCCTCTCCCTTCCGGCAGAGGCAGATGCCAGCCCGCCGCCATCTTTCCCGCGGGGCCCCTCAGGCCCCGGCTCGGCAGAGCGCATGGTGGCCCCAGCGGCTCAGCTCCGGTCTGGCGCCCCGCCACACGAAAGCTCCCCCTGCTGTGCTGCTCGATGCCGCTGCCGGGAGCTTCCTTCGCAGGACTGCCGGCACGTCTGCGGTGCCCGAAGGGCAGCCCAGGGCCTGTCAGCAGCCGCAGAATGCGGAAGCCCTGCGGCCGCGGGGAGATCCAGGGCGAGCGGCTGCAGGCGCCTCTGCTTGGGCCGCGCTCGAGGCGCTCCCTCGCTGCTGCCCTCGTGGGTCCAGCCGGCAGCCAGAGCGCCCCCCCCCCAATCCGGGATCCCAGCAGCCCCGTTCTGCCGCACGCGCCTGGCTTTGCAGAGGCAGGGCTCTGCCCACTGGGCAGGCCACGGGTCGGGTTGGGGTTCCGCGGGGAAGTGCTGCAGGACGGGGAGAGCGGCTGCTTGGCCACGAGCGGGAGGATGCCGGGAGTCGTAGCCCAAAACCTCTGCAGGGGGCCAGGTTGCCTGACAGTGTTCAGTGCCATTTCTCCGAAGCGTGTTTTCCTGGCTAACCCAGAGGCCAGGGCTGGGCTCCTTGCCGTGCTTCCAGCTCTGGGTGCTTCCGGCAGCCAGACAAGAGCCGGGATGTGCTGGTGATTCCTCGTCTGTCTGGCGAGCAGAGAGAACTCTTGGGGCTCTTGATTGTTCGCAGACGGTCTTGCTGGGATGCCTGGTTTGTTGCCCCCTCGCGCTCCTCGCACGGGAGCGGGAGTGCTGCTTCAGGGAGGCGCTTGCCAGCCGCGGAGGGTGGTGGATGCACAGGTGGCGCCCGACCACCTCTCCTTGCCTCTTGCTTTGCGGGATGACGGAGCCTCTGAGCACGCCGGCCACAAGGCTCTGCCTCTCCTCCTCCCGCCAGACTCCTTGGTGCATGAAAAATTGACTCCACCTCAGGCTGAAATCTGTAGCTCAGGGAGCAACGTTTTTTAGCAGCAGATGAAACCGGCGCACGGCAGCCTCTCCTCCTCCTGCTCGGTCTGCGCTGCCTGAGTGCGGAGCATGGGGGCCCCGATCCGGGAGGTCGCGCGCCTCTCGCTGGGTCCGCTCAGCACAGGCCCTGGCCATCTGTTTCCCGGGCGCCTCTTAACAGGTGCGCATGGCTTGTTCCGCGTGCAATTGATCGCGGCTGCCTGTGGCCCCAGGGCTCAGGCAGAGCTGTGGAAACTCGCGTTAATCTGTCTTGACAGCAATGAGGAGGTGATCCTTCTCCTCTGTATATTGCATTTTCCTCTCTGAAAAATAACGCGTTCTGACACCCCTCTCCTCCGGCAAGGCAACAGAGGCAAATTTTACGGCCCCCTCTGCTTCATCCATCTTAATCAGCAAGATTAAGGCGAAGACAGCAGCGAGCAGTCGGAGCCGCATCAGAGGTGTCTCAACGCGGAGCCTGCCGTGTCTGCGTGCCGTGGCCAGCGGAAGCGGCTGGATTCGGGGCTCAGGCTCCCGCAGGCCAGGGGACGCAAGAGGCTGGCCGGCCGGGCGTCTCCGTGGAGCCGGGCGCACACGGGCAGATGCAGCGCATGGCGTCCAGGCCCACACAAACCATGCCCCCCCGGGGCCCCTGTGCCAGTCCCGCGTCGCCCAAACCGGAGCGAGCGCCCCGTGGTGGAAGGCACGCATGCCGCTGGGGCGGGGACATCCATGCGCAGCGCAGGCGCCCTCCCGCCACCACGGCTGCCCTCCCGCTTTGTGTCGCAAAGCAGGCGCGGGTCCCTTCCAGAGCTGGGCTTGCCTCAGAGGGCAGCCTCGTCTCCCAGGAATCCTTCTGGGCCACATGGGGCTCAGTGAGATTCCCGGGAAGCAGCGGTGGTGCGGGCCCGGCCACCAGGAGGAAGGTGTGGGGAGGGCTGGGCTGGGGGCCGTAGCACTGTGCCCGCCGGGGGAAGCCCGGGGGGAGCTGGAGACCCCGCAGGGAGGGGGGAGGCTCCTGCTGCTGCTCGAACCGGGGCTTGGCTTGACCCAGGCCTTCATTCGCGCAGCTGCTGCGCCCACGTCCTGACTGGTCTTATATGGGGGCCGGGGGGGGGGGCAGCTGCATTGCTGCCTTACTTGTTTTATTTTGCTTTTTATTATGCAAGCCGCTTGCAAATATTTACCTTAAAAGGCACTGTAGGAAAAAAGCACAGCAGACGGATTGCGTGTTGCAGGCGCATGCTCACTGGGAACCGCTGCGAGCCCCCGTATCCATGAGCACCCCTCCCTCCGCTTGAAGGGGGCCCGCGCCACTGCCGTCTTGGCGCTGGGGTCCTCGGGGCGAGGAGACCCCACCTGGGCCGGCAAGAGCTGCTGGCTGTGGAGCAGGCGGAAGCGCTCGCTCCTTCACCCCGCTTTCGGGTTGAATTGTGTTTGGCGCAAAAGCCTTTCTGTGGATGGAGCTGAGCCCGGGGCAGAACCCACTCCTGCCGAAGCTCCCCAGCCAGGAGCGCCTCTTGCAGGCCCGGGTTGTCCCTGTGATGTGCTATGCGCCACGCCATGGGGTGGTGCACTCTGGGGCTGGACAGGAACGGGAGTGGTGCTGGGTCCTTGGAGGGTCTTGCCCCCGACAGCCACTCAGGAAGTGGCTGAATAAATGGAAGAAGGCACGGCCGGGCAGGCGGGGAGGGGCAGCTGTGGGGGGCCCGATCCACACCCACCGGCGCGCTCTCTCTGTCCCCAGAGCACGTCTGTTCCATCCTGGCCTCCCTCTTGCGGAATCTGCGGGGCCAGCAGAGGACGCGGCTGCTCAACAAATTCACGGAGAACGACAGCGAGAAGGTGAGGTGCAGGGCTGCTGGGGACGGAGGGTCTGGCGGGAGACGTGGCCCCTAGGCTTGGGGCAGGGCGCCGCCTCCGCGGGAGGAGCAGCCGGTGTCCTCACTGCCCTTGCGCTCCGTCATGCGGGTCTGGCTGTTCGCCTTTGCAGCCACATCCCGGGCAGCTCGCGCAGCCCCCCGCTGCTCTTGGTTCCATCCTGACAACAGCCTTGCAGGGTGGGTTAGGCTGAGAGGCAGTGACTGGGCCAGAGTCCCCCTGGGAGCCCCCGGATGAGCGGGGCAACCGCGGCCTCCCCTTCCAAGTCGCCGCTGCTGCGCTATGGCTCGGCCCCTCCCCAGATGACCCCTCACCTGGCTTGGGAGCGGGGCCGCCTCAGTGGAGGCAGGAGGCAGAGGGCTGTTGCAGGCCGGACTGCCGGTGACGCCCGGGACCCCCGTGCCGGCATCTGGCGGCCTGCGCGGAAGCAGCACAGCATGCTGGGAGGTCCGGCGCAGCCCATCTTGCGCTCAGCTGCCCCCTCGCCCACAGCTCGCCACGGCTAAGTGGATAGTTGGCAGTGGCGACGCTCCCCCCGGGATTCCTGGCAAACGAGATGCGGTCAGGAGCTGCCAAGGCGACACCAGCCTTTCGACAGGTCGGGCTCAGTGGCGCTTTCCGTACTCCTGGAAATAGGAGCTCGCGCAGGGTGACTTCTGGAATCGATTAGCAGGGCCGTGAGGCCAGCAGTGCCGCGCTAGCGGGGGGCCAGGCGGAAGTGCGTGTGAGTCGGCACTGGCGGGGGGGCCTGCACAGCCGTCCCGAGGGGCTTCTGCCGCTTTGGCTCGGCAGAGAGAGCAGTGGGTATCCCCAAAGTGCCGCTAAAATGCTGCTGCTGGAATTCCTCCAATTAAAAGCAGTTCCTTTCCCCCGGAAGGCCAGAGGAGGGGGAGTCCCTCATCGGCTATTGGCCATGGCGTTGCCGGGGTGCCTCGGCCCACCACGTTCCGGGGGGCGGGATGGCGTGGCCTTCCTGCCCTCCTTGCGGCTTCAGAAAGCACCTGGACAGTCCCCCGAGTGGGATGGAGCGGGGGCTGGACCGCCGGGCGTCGGGCCGCTTCCGGCGCTGCTCTTCTCCGAGTCTGCGAAGTGCCACGAAGTGCTTCGGCAAGACGCTGGAGCGCAGGAGCCAGGCCGCCCGAAGTCCTGAGCCAGAGCGGGGGCTGCAGGGGGGCAGGCAGGAGTAGGGCGGAGCTGACAGGTTGTGGGGGCCGTGTGGGGCCCCTGCCAGACCACTCCCGGCCGCCCGAGGGCTTCCTGACATGCGGCAAAGCAGACCGCCGCCCTCTCGTTCAGATGCGGTTGACGAACCCGGCCCCGTTTGGCGAGCGGGAGGCCGGGGGCTCCCGTGTTTCCGGCTCCCTCCGGATTGCAGGACGAGCACCGCCTGTCTTCCCCGGTGATCTGGACCCCTCTTGTGTCTCTCCCCCACGCCCAGGTGGACAGACTGATGGAGCTGTATTTCAAGTACCTGGACGCGATGCAAGCCGCGGATAAGAAGATCGAAGGAGAAAAGCACGTACGTAACCCCTTCCCTTCCCTTCCCTTCCCTTCCCTTCCCTTCCCTTCCCTTCCTGGGTGCAGGGGAGGGGTGGCCACAGAGCAGCCCGTGGCCCTCTGCTCACTCCGTCCGGCAGGGTCCTGGGTGGCCGCTGTGCGGACAGGTGATGCCCGGGGAGGCCCCTGGCCCGGGACGGGGTCGTGGCCTTGCTGTCGCCTCCCTCAGCGGCGGCCCCTGCTGCCGGAGCTCTCCTGCTGGGCCCCCGAGGGAGGCGGCAGGGCCACTCGTGGGCAGAGAGGCTGGCCTGCCCTCGGGAGCAGGCGCCCCGGGGCAGTGTCGGCGGGCTGGCTTGGGGAACGCAGGTGCCCTTCAGTGGCGGCAGGCTGACTGCGAGACGCTTTGTGCCGGACTGAGAGGAGTGGGGCCGCCCCAGCGCACGGCGGCAGGGCGGGGGCTCCCCCTCGGGCTGGGCCGCCGCAGGTGCCCCTTTGTTCTCCACCGGGCACAGTCCAGAAAATCTCGACGCAGGGGCTTGTGGGTAGAACACCTCGTCTTATTTCTGGCTGGCTGCGTCCTTTCTTCGGGAAAGGGGATAAGCCCCTTAGCTCTTAACTCCCTCGGAAATGAGGCGCAATTATCAAGCCCTGGCCGCGATCGCTGCAGAAGGGAGGCCGAGGCAGGAGGCGGGGAAATGCATTGGTTCTTAGTTCTGTGCGAAAATTATGCTCAGCAGGTTTATTCAATAAAACGCTCTCGCCGGATACTTTGCGCCATAACGACTTACAAATTAGATGCTAATTGTGGCACAGTTAAGTCGTTCCATCCTTGAAAGGGAGAAACGGGGTGCCTGGAAGTGAAGTGGCATCCCAGGTCTGGTGGTTAAATGGGGGAGTGGAATGAACCTGGCATTTCGTGCCGCTGCAAACGGCTTGCGTTGTGGCAAGGGCTGGAGGTGGTGGCGGGAGTTAATCTGCGGGGCGAGGAATGCGCGGCGTCCGCGCAGGGCGCCGAGATTGGCTGTTCAGTGTCCAGCCGCTCAGCTCCCCCCGGGTCGAGCCAGAAGGGGTCTGCCCGCCCCCCCAGCCCGTGTAGGGCTGCCCATAGCGCAGCCCCTCGTCCACGAGGCCCTCCGCCGAGCACTTGCGATGCCGGAGGGAACACAGGCAGCCTCCAGGCCCGGGGGCCCGGGGGGTGGTGTGAACGGCCCAGCACTCGCGGGCCCGGGTTGGGGAGGTGCAGGCGGGCGAGCGCGATGGGATCCGCCAGCCACCCGAGGGGCCGCCCTGGCCGTGCTCCAGCAGGCGGGGGGAGGCGCGAGTCCCGCATCCGGTGCCTGATCAGCCGGTGCTCAAGATCAGTGGGGAGCTGCCAGCATCCTCGGCTGCAGAGCACCTTCCTGGCTTTGAGCGCCTCCTTGCGTGACCCGCGCACAGCGGGACGGATGTGGGCGAAGGCAGCCCGGCGTGTTCCTGCGACGAGGAGCCCGTGAGGCAGCGGGGCCCAGCCCTTGGGTCTCCTCCCCGGGCCCGGCTCTTGACGTCCTGCCGCCGAGCGCTGGCAGGGCCAGCGTCTTTTGCTGCCTCAGGCCGTGGGCACAGCTCTGGGCCTGGGGAGGGCCCCGCACGGCTGCTCTCGGGCTCCGGTCAGCGGCTCCGGTCTGAGTGCCGCTCCTCTTTCCTCCCCATGCAGGAAGGATTTGGCCCGGCTGATGCCGGAGGGAGGAAGGAGCCACCGCAGGGCGGTCTGCGGGGCTTGCAGATGACGGCGTGGCGCGCTTCGCAGCAGGGGCCCCGGGGGCTGTCCGAGCATGGCCGGCCTTCGCTGACCTGTCGCTGGGACAGCTGGGGTTGGCCGTGGCCGGGAGGGTCCCGCCGGCGTTCCGCAGCCAGGGGTCTTCGGCGGCCTTGCCCTGTGCCTGCAAAGTGCAGGCGCCTGGGTGGGGGGGGGCCAGTTGGGTCAGACACATTCCCGCCACGCAGAGCAGCCCCAGCACTTGCACGGCCACCGCTCCCCCTGGCCACAGAAAGTGGCAGCGTGAGTGGTGGGCGTCACGGCCACAGCCACAGCCCACGGTGGGACGCAGGGCGGTCTGGCTGGGGAGGAGGGAGACCTGGCCAGCACCCTCCCGCTGCCGGCTGCGCTCCCGCAGCACCGGCTCCCCGCCTGCAGTTGCAGTGGCGCGGATGACCTGGGGAGGGCGAGAGGGCCGGCTCTCCCTGGAAGGGGGAAAGGATGCCTCCCGGCTCCCGGCAGTGGCGGCGGCAGTGGCAGCAGGCCCCCTCCCCAGCTCCGAGCGCCTCCGGGTGCTGTGCGCGCCCCTGCCAGTCCCGCCTCATTAGCGTGGGGCGCCTGCCTCAGCCTCACGGGCGCCCGTCTGATCGCTGTCGCCTCCCATCAGCGCAGGGCGCCTGGCAGCAGATAAGGAACGGCACCTGCGCCCTCACCGGCAGATGCGCATCTTGACGGCTCTGAGAGAGCGGCAGGCAGGCAGGCAGGCAGGCTGGCTGGCTGGCTGGCTGTCGGGCGTCCCCGGGGATTAGCATCCGGAGGGGGCGCGGCAGTGCTGGTTAGCCGGGCTGGGGGGGCCCCCATGGCACTGCCACTCCCACGCGTCTGCGGGCGGCCTCGGCTGCATCCCCGGTGCTGGCGACGCATGCCCTGGGTCCGCGTTCCCCGCGGAAGAGCCCCCCGTGCGCCGCCAGTTCGGCCAACAGGCCTGGCTCGCAGCTCGGTCGCCATCGGGGTCGCAGGTGCCGTGCACCTGGCGGCTCAGACGTCAACTGGCGCTGGCAGGGCTGATGGCTCCGGAAGCCTCGCTGCTCACGTTTGAAAATTCAAGAGCTGTCAAGGCAGATCGGCAGGAATCGCGGCTGACGGGAATGCTCCTGCCACGGCTCGTAAATAGCCGTGGTATCGCTGCCAGCGCTCGTTGCAGGATTCAGGCCTTGGGGCGGCTGCTTCCTGGCAGGACTGGGGGGAGCGGGGAGCGGAAGAGGGGGAGCCGAGGGGCTCGGGGCCTCCGAGGGAGGAGACCGGCGCTTGCCGAGGCTGGAGTGGCAAGGGCCCCACGGACCATCGGCAAAGGGCGCTCCAGTGTGCAGCCCTTCCCACCTGGCGGACCCTGCCTGCGGCTGCCTTGGGGTCACCAAGCCCCTGGCACCTTTGCCACAGCTGGCCAGGACAGGGCAGGCAGCATGGCAGCCACGGGCACCAGCCTGCCTGGCGGCCCCTCTCCCGGGGCCCACCCTGGCGCCCTCCCCGGAAACACTGCTGTTTTCCCACCTGCAGCTGCAGCCGGGCGACACAGGGACTGTGAGTGAGAGGCCCCCAGACCGCGTGTCGGGGCCCCCCGCACCCTGCCTTGCGCTCCATTTTCTGGCCAGCTTACCGGCCCTTGGCCACACCTCCCCTGGCAGCCATTTTGTGCAGGCGCCCAGGAGAGGTCTTGGGATTGCCCAGTGCCCGTAGCTCCAGGCCTGAGGGGACAGGATTTCCCTCTCAGCTATGGGCAGGTGGCGGTGGAGGCTGTTCCACCACCCTTCCAGGCCCTTGGGAGGGATCCGGGAATTTTTGGAGGTCACAGGGTGCAGAGGCGCTGCCCAGGAAGCCGGGCTCCAGCTGGGCATCGGGAAGCGCTTCCTGAGGGGGGGAGAAGCAGGGCGGGGCAGCCCCCGGCCTGGGGAGGGGGCAGCTCTCCTCCCTGGAGGCCTTCCAGAGGCGGCCGGACGGCCTCCGAGGGGGCTGGTTTGCCCGGGGGACCTGCACTCGGCAGGGGCTCGGACCCGGCGGCCGTCTTGGCTCCTGCCACCTCTGTCGCCCAGGCAGCCGTTTTTGGGAGCCCCCCGCCTGCCTCCGGCTGGCCTCCCTCCTGCCCGCGGCACGCAGAGCGGGGGGCGGCGCTCACGCGGCGCTTCGCAGGGACGGCAGCAGCGCTCTAATGAGGAAATATTGCTCCGGCAGAAAGTGCCACCTGCCGGGCCCCCGCCTCATAAATCACGCGGGCGGCAGGAGCACTCGGGTCCGCAAACCAGCATCCCCGTGTGAGCAGAGTGAAAGGTCGGCGTGGCGGGAGCTGCTGCGGCTCTGCAGACGGCCCGGGCACGTGCCAGGGAGGGCGGCCCCGGCGGTCCTCCAGCGGGCGAGGGCACGGATCCCGGGCTGCGGGGGCCTGTCTGCTCGCCCTTCCTGCAGTTCACCGCCAGGGCCTGCCTTCCGCCGGGGAGGAGCCTCTGCGAATCTCGTGGCCTCGCGCGTGGCTCTCCCCCCCCCCCCCCCGCTTGCACCCGGGGCCAGGCTGCGGTCTCTGGCGCGACTCGCAGGCCTCTCCCCCCGTGCTGGGGCTCGTCCGGAGATGCTGGGCCCGCTCCCATCAGGAGCAGGCGTGCAGCCAGCCCCGCGGGGCCCTGGCCCCCCTGTCCGGCCCTCCCTGCCTCTTGCTGCCGGGCCCCGCCTGCCCTGCGAGGGGCTCGGCGCCGGGTCTCCGGGGGCCGGGGCCACCCTCCCGCGGCTCTGCGCGACTCAGCTGCCCGCCTCGCTGCAGGACATGGTCCGCCGCGGAGAGATCATCGACGACGACATGGAGGACGAGTTCTACCTGCGCCGCTTGGACGCCGGCCTCTTCGCCCTGCAGCTTGTCTGCTACGTCATGGCCGAGATCTGCAGCGCCAGCATCCCACAGGTGAGGGCCGTGCCGCGTGCAGAGGCGGCGGGGGGATCGCTGGCCTGGGGGGCAGCTGCGCCGCGGGGGGCACACGTCCCGCCTGGGTCCCGCAAGGCGCTCAGGGCCCTGCCTCCCGTCGAGCAGGGCCCGAGGCGCTTCCCGCCCTGCGGCCCGAGGGGCTTCCCTGTTCGGGTGAATGAGAGGGAGAGCGAGCGCGGTCGGGCGGAGCGCTCGAAGGGGGCCTCGCCGGACCCCCACGCCCTCCCGCTTTTCCCTGCCTCGCGCTTCCAGCGGGGCAGCCAGGCTCCTGGGGGCCCCCCTTGGGTGTGTGCTGTGGAGCGCGGCTGGGGGTTCCGCCCCTTTCGCCCCACAGGCGGCCCCTGGCGGCGGGGGCATGGCGGATGCTGCGCGGGGGCAGGCGTGCGGAGGCCCGGCCGGCTCAGCCCTGGTGCTCGTGCGGCATTTCGCCTCGCTGCTTGGGGGGCTCCCTGCAGAGCTGTGCCGGGAGGGCCTGCCCCCCGCCCGGTCCCCGGGGCAGCCACCGCCCTGGTGTGCGTGGCCGCCTTTCCCTCGCCGGGCGCCGGGCTCCCTCCCAGCCCGCCAGCAGGCCCCTCCCTGCCAGGCGTGGGGTCCTTGGCGCCAGGTGGGCCGCGGGGCGTGGGGGGCCCTCCGCCGGGCTGCTCCCCAGAACGCTGCAAGCGGCTGCAGCTCCGCCGGGCCTGCCTGTTTCCACGAGAATGACGCCGGTTTTCCGCGCCTTTGTTTTCTGGCCAGATTCGCCAGCGAGTCCATCAGATTCTGAACATGCGGGGCAGCTCCGTCAAAATCGTTCGGCACATCATCAAAGGTGCGTTCTTGAACTGGGGCGGAAAGCGTGGCGTGTCCCGGCAGCCCGGGCAGGCTCACCCATGGACGGCAGCGTGGGTGCGGAGCCCGGGCCGGGAGGAGGCCCGCCGTCCTCCCGCTCGGAGCCTGGGAGCGGCCCTCCGTGGGAGCCCTCGGCCCCCAGTGGAAGCGCGGAAGGCAAGGCCGTCCCCGGTGCAGGACGGGCCGCTGCCTCGGAGTCCCGCTCGGAGGGCAAGCGTGGCCGCTGCCAGCGTGGGTGGGGGGCGCTCTGGCTGCACCTCCACGCAGAGCCTGCTTTCCGTGCCTCGGAGAAAGGGCTGTGGCAGAGCCACGGCACGCTCCTGCGGGCCGGGAGCCGCTCCCCCACCGCCCCCGGTGGGCTTATGCGGTGGGCTGATGGCAGAGCCACCCTGCCGCTGAAAAGCGTGGCTGCCGTTCTGCTCGGTGCTCGGGCAGCCACGGCTCTCCACCTTGGCGGCGAGGCTCCTGGTGGGATGCCGAGAGCGCTTCTTGCCTTTTCTTTATGGCGTTTCTGCATAACCCGGTGGCCAGGGCAGGCTTGGCATAAAAGCAAGATAAAACCCAGCAGCGGTGTAGATTCAGAGCTGCAGTCGCTGATTTGCAAATGGCAGGAACAGAAAGACCGAGGCGCCTCAGAAAATGGCCTTCGCCGATGAGGCCCCAGCCGAGGGACGCGGCGAGCCTCGCGGGGGCCGCGTGTCACGGGCAGCGCTCTGCCACTTTCTCGGCGGGGGAGCACCCGGCGTCGGGGCTGCCCTGCCACCCGCCCTTCCCCGCCGGCCCGGGCCGCTCCGCTCCGCACGGCGGGAGGATAAAACTTCGTGCGGAGGGGGACGCGTCACGCTGGCAATTATGGCGCCCAGCCGGCGCGGCGCATCCTGTGGGGGAGGGCGGGATTCCGCGTTGCTGCGCCGTGGGGGTCCCACGCCGTGCCTGCCGCGCCTCCTGCTGGCTCAGCGGCTGCGTGGGGGCTGGGGAGACTGGCCGGGCTCGGTCTTTGGGGAGGGGGCTGGGGAGCAGTGAGCCGCAGCCCCCAAGAAGCAGCCCAGACCCCCACCTGGGCCACGGCCGGGGCGGCACACGCAGCTCCCCCCCCTCCTGCTTTTTTGCATGCTAATTGGAAGCCTGTTTTTTAGTTTGATTTTTATGGCCTACATATTTTCCCTGTTTCTCCGGCAGCCTGACAGCTGATGGGTCTCCTGGGAGGGCCAAGATTGCTTCAGATGCAAGGGAGGGGACCGGCTCTCCGTGTGCCTCCAGAGGCGGAGGTGGGCAGAGGCGCCCTGGAGCTGGTTTCTGCCGGCGGGGGGGGGGCACGTGGGGGCCGCCAGCCCGCACAAGGGCCGTTGGGGTCCGGAAAGGCTCGCTTCCTCCCCGCTGGGGGGTGGTCTGCCTCTGGCATGACCAGCGTGGCCCCCATTCAGGAGGGGGTGGCAGGTGGGGCAGCACAGGGGTCTCCTCTGGGCGTCTCTCAGAGTTGCCTGCCTTGTCCTCCTGGATCGCCTCTTGAAGGGCTGCTGGCTGCCCACTTTCCTCAGATCGCGTTTCTCCTCGCGCCCTGTGGTTGGCCTGCTCCCTGGGTCCAGGGAGCCGAGCGCAGGGGCTGCGTGTGCGTGACCCCTTCCCCCAGACTCGTGCTCATTGGCCCCGCGCTGGCGTGGGCTCGGCATGGCGCGAGCCGAGTCCGCTTGTGGACTCGCATCTCTGGCGCATTCTAAGAAAGACTCCCCGGCACGGTGGGGCCCCGACTTCAGCAGCCCTGCTTGCCAGATGGCTCGGCGCTGATATGCCGAGTGGACTGCGGCGCACCTTGGAGCCGGGCGTCTGCGGAAACAGTCCGGCTCGGCCCGTTTCTGACGAGCGGGTCAGAGGCGGGCGGGAAGCCTGTCGCGGTCCAGTGGCCAGACTCCCCGGCGTGAGCGCCGCTCTGCCTGCGCCATCTGGACCGAGTCGCCGCCCGCCTTTCCGGCCTCCCCGACGCGACCGGCTCGTTGCCGCACAGGCTGCCCGCGACACGCGGCCATCTGGGCCGTGTGGGTTGATCGCCGGAGTTGCGAGGAGGGAATAGACGCCCACGGCCGGGGGAGGAGGACTCTTTGCGGTGTGCATGGGGATATCCCGTCGTCTCCGAGGGCTTCCTAACGGGACCAGGGGCACGTTCCCAAGAACCGGCGCCACCCCACCCAGCCGTGCGCCGGTCACCTGCTTCCTCCACCCTTGCGCTTGCGCATCTTGCCCAGGCCTGCCTCCCGTCTCGTTGCAGAGTACGCGGAGAACATCGGGGACGGGAAGAACCCGGAATTCCGAGAAAGCGAGCAGAAGCGGATCGTGGAGCTCCTGGAGAACTTCTGAGGGGCCTCATCCAGCCCAGGGGCTGCCTGGCAGAGGCCGCAAGCCCAGGCACCTGGAATCGCGCAGGACTTTTGGAAGACACGGAGCCTCTTGTGACTTTTTGAGACATTAAAGAGTTTGTTTGTTTTCAAGTTTACCGCCTAATTCTCTGCTTGGGAGCATCGCATGAGCCTGCCCCCTGGGACGGAACAGCCGGGCCGTGGGTGCGTGAATCCGCGGCCCTTTCCTTCCAGAAACGTGGTGCGTGGCCAAAACGTTGCCCTCCAGATGTTGGAATGCAGCTCCCATCCTCACCAGCCCTCATTGCCCTTGCTGGGGATGATGGGAGTGGCAGCCAGGAGCCCATCCCCCTCTCGCGGCAGCACTGGCAGCGGCCCCTGGACCGCCAGTGGGGGTCCTGCTCCTGGGGCTTCCCCAGCCTTGGCACGCCGCGCTCCCTGTTGGGAAGGCTGAAGCGCCTCTCCCCAGCCTCGGCCCCTGGCAGCAAGAGCCGTACGCTCAGAGAGGCCGGGTGTGAACTGCTCCAGAGCACGGCCCGTGCGACACACGTCTGCTCCATGCACCACAGGAGGAGCCTGTTGTGGGGGGATCCGGCCGGCGAGCGCTGGGTCGGGCGCCGCAGGGGGGCTCCCTCGCACTCCCAGCTCCTCTCGAGCCTGGGCGGGACGTGCCTTCCCGCTGCGCCTTGGCTCTTCGCCCGCTTTCTCCTCGGCCCCCTGCATTTCCCCGTCATGAGCTGCCGGAGCGATTTCTCCCCCACTGCCTCTCTGCTCCTCATCGTGGATTCTGAGTCGAGCCCCTCCTTGCCTGCATTTCCCCTCGTCTTCCCGTCTGCCGTGATGGCTTTGAAGGTGCCATTTAGAAAATGCGCAAGCTCCGGACCTCCGGACCTCCCCTGCCTGGCCTCGTTCTCGAGGCACGCGCCCCGCCAGGCCTTCCCAAGGCAGAGTAGGGCGGTGGGCCGAAGGGCAAGCAGGGGAGAGGGGCTTGGAGGGCAGGTGCCACGGCCATCCGTGGGCACGCCTAGCCGCCCTCTGCAGGGCCACCCTCAGAGATCCCCCTGCACCAAGGACCGCCCCCTTGATGGGCAGGGCCTCTGTTGCTCCAGCAGGCTCTGCCTCCCTCCCCCTCGCTCCCGCTGGCGTCCCAGGGCGCTGCAGGGGGGACAAGGCCGCGTCCTGGCAGGCCCATCCCGAGCCCCTTCCAGCGGGCGGGGAGGGCTCCTGGGCGGAAGGGCAGCGGGGGACGAGGAAGCTGCTGGGGCACCTGCCTCTGGGGCAGCAGGCGGGGCGCCTGCTCGCCACGCACTGCAGCCCCATTGCTGGGCAAGGCAGGTCCCGGGGAGGAGGACTCCCAGGCAGGATCTGGGCACAGCGGCCACTCTGCCAGGCGGCTCACGTGGCCGGCATCTGCTGTGGCGGGGACGGGCCTGGAGCAAACCGTCGTGCCATGGGCCAGTCACCGCGAGTGGCTCTGGGCAGCCCCACTGACGGCCTGACAGCCACGGGCCCCGGAAGCGTGTGCCAGAGGGCCGGGGGTGCGGAGCGGTCCCTTCCCGGCCGAGGGGGCCCTCGTAAGAAGAGCCGGCGCCGCCCCAAAGCCCGCGAGGATTAATCCTGCGGGGGCTGCTTGTTGCCTTCCTCCTTTCTTCCTTCTCTTTTCTTCTCCCAAATGAAAGAAGCGTTTGAGGGGATTATAAAAAAATGGAAATGCCATCGCTTATCGGCACACAAAGCAATCTTGGCATCTCCCACTCCAGACGGGTGACAAGCAAGGCTCCAGATGTTGGAGGCATGAAGCACGGGCCCTGTGATGTGCAGCGGGGCAGCGCTGTCGCCCCCTTTCCCGCCCCCCCCCCCGGCACCTTGCCAGCTTGCTCGTTGGGGGGCCGGGCTGAGGCTGGTGCCCAGCGACCGCTGCTTCGCTTGGTGCCGCACGGGAGGCTGTTTCTGGCCTTCGGGAAACCGGCAGGCCGCCCGCCGTGCATCTTACTCGGTTGGCGCCGGGCAGGGGTCTAGGTCAGGCAGGGCTCCCGCAGCTGGAGTGGCGCGGGAACGGGGAGGGGTGGCCCGGGGAAGCAGGGCAGAGGCGGCCAGGCGCTCCTGCGAGCAGCGGGAGGCCAAGAGGGGCGCGGGGCACCAGGCCTGCCCAGCGCTGCGGGGCGGCATACGTGCGGGGATCCCGCCCTCTGCCCCCCAGGAGCCCGCCTGGCCTGCAGACCAAGCAGCCTCGCGGGCCGGCCCCGAGCTGGCGGGGCCTCGATCCACGGGCAGCCGGCACAAGCACTGGGCTCGGCGGGCCGCGGATCCGCCTCTGCGGAAGCCGCTCCGCCTCGCTCTCCCCGCGGGCTTGCGCAGGAGTAGCTGCGTTTCCCCGGGCGCGCAGCCCAAGCTCCTCCCCGGCCGGGGCTGGATGCATGGAGAAAGTTTTGTGCGTAATTCCCTTTAAACCTATTAGCGGATGAATGCCAAGATCAGGCTCGGGAGGATTACAGCGCGTAAAGCCCCGGCAAGGCCGCGCACCTGCCACCCTCTGGAGCAGCGCCAGAGGCGGTGCGCAGGGCGCCTGGGGCGCGCCGTGCGTTCTGCCGTTGCGCCGCGCAGCAGGAGGCGGGCGGGCCCTGCAGGGCGGTCGCAGCTCCGGCGCCTGGTCGGTTGGACGACAACGAGGCCACGAGGGGCCGAGCTGCCCCGGCTCGCGTTACCGCTGCCCCGTTCGGGGCCTGTGCCACGGCTCGGAGGCGGCCGCTCCGGTCCTTGCGGGGCTTCCAAGACCAGCTGCGCCACGCGCCTCTTCGCCTGAACTTGCCTGCGCACGGGCACGCAGCGCCCGCGCGCTCTAAGGTGCGCCCCAGCTCTCCCTGGAGGGCAGGGCAGAGCAGGGCAGGCGAGGGACGAGGCCCGTCGCCCTCGCCAGGCAGGGGGCCTCTTCGCCTCGGTGGGACGGAGAGCCGCAGGGAGCGGCCTCCAGCTCCCCTTCCCCTTTTCACAGCCGCCGAATTCTGCAGGGCTCCCACAGGGCCCCGGCACCGTTGGCTGCGTCTGGAGCAGGGGCGCGGCAGAGGAGGAGCGGCGGGAAGGATCTGGGCAACGATCCCCTGGCGAGACGGCATCTGCGAAATGGCTTTTCCCCCTGCCCACGGCTCCATTGTAATCTAGCTTGTCGAGCGCGATCCCCTCGGGCCGCCGTCTGGCCTCTTGGCGTCTCACCAGAAAGCCGCACCAGCCGGACGGACGGGGGCTGCAGCCGCTCCTCGGCCCTGGAGGCTGCGAGTAATTGAGCGTGAAAGGGAAGCTGGCCGAGCCAGCCCAGCGCTCCGCTCCTGCTGGTGCAAACGCGCCAGCCTTGCCCGCTTAATTCCCCAGCAAGTTTGTTAAGCAGGAGCCCCCAGAGGCGAGGACCTTCTGCTTGGCATGTGGGATGAAGGGGGGAGCACCAGGGCCTCCGCCAAGCGAGACCTAGAAGCGCAGGGACGCCTTCTCCCCAGACGAACTTCCACAGAGGCGTGTTAAGAAGGTCTTGCCCACTTGCCCGGCCCGCCTGCTTGGCCGGTGGATTCACAGTTTTGCGCACTATCACTGCCGCAGAGCAGCTCCCAGGGGCTCCAGCCAGCCAGCCAGCCAAGGGGCTTCCGCACAGCAAGCGGCTCCCCGTCTGTCGGGCCTGGTCTCTCCGCTGGCCTCTTCCTGGCGGTTGTGTGATGCCTCTCCCTGAGGCATGTCCGAGATCGGGTGTGTGTGCCGGGGGAGAAAAAGGCCCCCTTCCAGTTGCAGTTGTCATGTGCCGTCAAGTCATCTCTGACTTAATGGCCACTCTGAATGAACGCTGACCGGGGCAGCCATTTTGTGAGAGCGCTCACGATCTTCTCACCCTGAGGTGCGTGTGCCCAGGTGGCATCTTCCCCAGATCTTTCAGTTCAACTCAATCAAGTGCTTAATTGAAATGATGCCAGTTGAACAAAATGAAAAGACGGGAGGGACTCTCGGCTCAGCCTGCCCTGCCCTGCCGAGAGCCGTCTTGCCTCGCACAGCAGGGTGGGCTGGGCATCCGTGGGCCTCGGCTCTGAGCCCGGCGGCTCCTCCAAAACTCCTTGCAGCTGCTCCCTTCAAATCACGTGTTGTAGGAACGCGGGGCACGAAGAGGAATCGTGCCGGAGACCCGGAGGGCCACCTTTGCCTTCCCTGCTGGCTTCGCCTTCCTCGCCCGCTTGGCCTGTGCTGCGGGGGGGGGGGGGGGCACAGTGGTGTGCAATGTACACAGGAAGGCAAGAAGCCTCTTTCTGCCTCCTGGATTGGGGCCATCTTCTCTTGTCTCCAGCTCTAATCTGGTTTGACTAAAGAGGTGGCTGAGAAACTCTTTGCGGAGCGTGTTGGACTGAGGCGCATGGAGGGGGCAGAGCTGCGGGAGCCCCCAAGGAGGCTGGGCTGGCGGGAGGGCCTCCCCGGCTCCGGCTCCGGCTCCTGCCCCACAGGCCGCATCGCCCTCCTGCCTGAGGGGCTTCCGGGCATGTCCCAGTGCCCCACGGGGGGGAGAGGCCGGCTACCAGCTGCAGCAGGTGGGATCCAGAGAGAAGCTGCCAAGGGCCACGGACGTGCCCCCTGCACGCCCATCAGCCACGGTCAGCATGAGGCCCTGGCTGTCATTCGTGTGCGGTACTGCCAGCGCGTCTCCCACTTATGGCAATCCTGGAACAAGCCCCCCCCCCGATGGCCTGTCCTCCACCGCCCTGCTAAATCCAGGGCTGTGCCTTCCTTTATGGAGCCCGCCCATCCCAGAGCAGCGCTCCCTCCTCCTCCTCGTCGGTGTGCGACTCCCCGGCAGGATCGCTCCTCCTCCACGGGGGACGCCAGCCGCAGCTGGCCAGCTGTGCTCCCAGGGGGCGCTCGCTCGGGCTGGCCTGGGCGGTGGGCAACAAGGGGGGAGTTGCTCGTGCCGGCTCCTGCCCTGGCCCAGGAGGTGCCCGGCATCCTCTGGACGTGGGCAGACACAACGCTGAATGTGAAGCGATGCGGGGGCCCAAATCGGACAGCAGGTCTGCAGAAACTCAGCCCCCCCCCCATCCTGTGCCATTGGATTTCCTCTTCTTTTAAGAGCTTCGCCTGAGGGGAGAACCGCTCCTGTGCCAAGGAAG